GCAGATTATGGTCCTACAGAATGAATTGAATTTCAGATTAAGATTTTAGCCCTGACCGGTTTGGCTCAGTGGATAGAGCGTCGGCCTTCAGACTAAAGGGTCCCAGGTTTGACTCTGGTCAAGGGCATGTACCTTGGTTCCTGGCACATCCCCAGTAGTGGGTGTGCAAGAGGCAGCTGATTGATGTTTCTCTCTCATTGATGTTTCTAACTCTCTATCCCTCTCCCTTCCGCTCTGTAAAAAAAAAAAAAAAAATCAATAAAATATAAAAAAATAAAAGTCAGTGTGCTGTATAATTTAAAAAAAAGATTTTAGAAACGGGGCATTATCCTATATAATAAAACCCTAATATGCAAATCGACCAAATGGCGGAACCACTGGTTGCTATGATGCGCACTGGCCACCAGGGGGCAGACGCTCAATTCAGGAGCTGCCCCCTGGTGGTCAGTGTGCTCCCACATGGGGAGTGCTGCTCAGCTGGAAGCCGGGCTCATGGCTGGCGAGTGCAGTGGTGGAAATGCTAAGGAGCAGCGAGCTAAGCAGTAAGGAGCAGTGAGCAGGCAGGCGGTAAGCAGTGAGGGGTCCCAGGCTGTGAGAGGGATCCTGGACTACGAGAGGGTGCAGGCTGGGCTGAGGGACCACCCCCCCCCCCCAGTGCACGAATTTCGTGCATCGGGCCTCTAGTATATAATAAAGCTAAGATTTGACTGTATTTAAAGGAGGCTGAGATGGAGTGAAAAAGAGGAAGGAGGCCCCTGTCAGGGTTATCCGTAGATATGGATCTTCCCAAAGATGATGGAGTGTTCCAAGTGTAGAAGAAGAGCCAAAGATGATGGTGGAGGAAGATACGGAGCCTGGTTCTAAAGCAATTGGGGAGGATCCCTCAGGTCTGTGAACAGCCATAGGAGGGATGGCAGATGGAAATCAGATGTTCTTCACCTGAAGTGAGGAGAGGTTATTAAATAAAGTTTTGGGAATATAAGACAGTGTGAGAGGTGTGTGACGAAAGCATAAAGAATGCTTACATTAGAAGGGAGATTGAAAAGTCACATTAAAGAAGTAGATGGAGTGAAATAAGATGGTCAATTGCTAGAGTCCATTTGGATGGGGATGAAAATGTTGGGGCCAGATGGGAGGAGAAAAGAAGAAATAACAGAAACAGACATTTGAGAGGAGGCTGGAGGGGATGGGGAGTTCTCAAAAAATTTAGTTAGACTGCTGGCTGGATTACTTTAAAGTGATTATAAAGCTACCATAAGTAAATATAGCTCAAGTGTGTTATACCATATAAATATTTTGAAATTCAGAGTGGAGCTGTTGCACAACAAGGCCCGAATGCTTACTTTGGGTTGGCTAATCAAATGATGAACCTGAAAAGGTCAGGGAAATTCTCTTTCTCTCTTTTTTTTTAATGGAACAGATGTCACCATACATTAACTTTGTTTTAAAAGTTTTAGTAGCTATATAAATAGTTATGTGCCCTGGAGGAATAATTCTCACACTTTTTTGGGGGAGTAATTTTACTTTCTTTGAAATGTTATAGAATTTTTAAAAACAAGTTCCCATTTGCTTGAATAACTGCCATACCATCTTTAAACCATGCAGAAGTTCCCCCAAATAAGCCAACTTTTAAAATAAATCCTTTCCTTCTGAATTGCAGAAGCCTCCTCTAAGTGGACAGGGTGGTGTCCACAGAGTCAATACAACACTAGATCTGGCATCGGATGCCCTGTGTGTAAGACCAGCTTTCCCGTGCATTGAAGGAGTGACTTGGCAAAGCTACTTAACCTCCTTCAGTTTCAGTTTCTTCATTTGTAAAATGGGAATGAAAACAGCATCTTCCCCAGAGGTTGTACATGAGGATGAAATGAGGTAAGGTATTTGAAATTATCGACTCTGAGGGTTGGGTTCTGAGAGCTCCTCATTGAGGAATTCATATGTACATCAGAGGTTGAGAATGTGTGGTCTAGGCTCGTGGTGGGCAAACTGCGGCTCGCGAGCCACATGCGGCTCTTTGGCCCCTTGAGTGTGGCTTTTCCTGAGCCTTAGGAGTACCCTAATTAAGCTAATAACAATGTACCTACCTATATAGTTTAAGTTTAAAAAAATTTGGCTCTCAAAAGAAATTTCAATCATTGTATTGTTGATATTTGGCTCTGTTGACTAATGAGTTTGCCAACCACTGGTCTAGGCTATGTGTACTTCTCATCTGAGTCTCTGGAATGTCTTATAGTTTCTATAACCAAGAACAAGATCATGGTGCTTATTTATTTTTAAATATATTTTTACTGATTTCAGAGAGGAAGGGAGAGGGAGAGAGAAATAGAAACATCAATGATGAGAGTGAGTCATTGGCCGGCTGCCTCCTGCATGCCCTCCACTGGGGATGGAGCCTGCAACCTGGGCATGTGCCCTTGACTGGAATCCAACACGGGACCCTTCAGTCTTCAGGCTGATGCTCTATCCACTGAGCTAAACCAGCTAGGGCAACCATGGTGCTTATTTAAATGGAGAGTAGGGGAAGTCTAGTGGGCCACTGAGGGAATAAACTCACTATAGGGACTTTAAGTGAGCACTCTGTCGGCTATGGCCCTTGAAACTGCTCCTGACTCCCTTCTTGAACTGCAGCAATCCACTGGCTTATCCTTCTTGAGAGACAATGCCAGTTCCTCACCATTATGGAGAGATTAACCCTGATTTAAGCCTCCAATTTTCCTGGCAAGAGCAGGGTTCAGGTTCTATTTATAGTAGGTCTTTGGACTAGAGTCTGGCTTTATCTCTGAACTGATTTTTTTTACCCTGGTGATTATAAAGTCGGTTCTGAATCAGGTTAAGAAGAGAATATCAGAGTGACCTTCTAACTCTTCCTTTAGGCCTTTCCTACTTCAAATGAACATGTCTCAGGGAGCTGTATTTTTTTAGATGTAGAAGTTAGGGAATTAGGAAATTAGCTGATTAGGGTTCTTTTTTTTTTTTAAATATATTTTATTGATTTTTCACAGAGAGGAAGAGAGAGAGATAGAGAGTTAGAAACATCGATGAGAGAGAAACATCGACCAGCTGCCTCCTGCACATCTCCCACTGGGGATGCGCCCACAACCAAGGTACATGCCCCTGACCGGAATCGAACCCGGGACCCCTCAGTCCACAGGCCGATGCTCTATCCACTGAGCCAAACCGGCTTCAGCTGATTAGGGTTCTAAATAAGATTATCCTTTTTATAAGATTATAGGACTGGATTAGTCCAAAGAATACCTAGACATTTTTTAGCCATCAAAGGGTCTCTCTGATCATACTTATCTCTTCTCCCCTCCCTTCCCCTCTTCTACTCTCTCTTTCCCTTTCCTACTCTCTTCTCTTCTCCCCTCTTCTACTCTCTCTTCCCCTCTCTCCTACTCCTTCCCCTCCCCTCCCATCCCCTCCCCTCCCCTCCTCTCCTCTCCTCTCCTCTCCTTTCCTCTCCTCTCTTTTTATTCCTCCTCTCTCCCCCTCCCTTTCCTCATTTATTTGTTATCTATCATCTACCTATCTATCGATCTGTAAGTTTGTCTATCCTATCTATCTATCTATCTATCTATCTATCTATCTATCTATCTATCTATCTGTCATCTAACTACCTGTCACATGTCTTTGTCTACCTGTTGTTTTGTTTTCATGGAAATGAGAGCAAAGGGTGATGAGGGAGTAGAAGTTATCTGAAATATCATTGGAGTTTGTTGGAAATGTTGGATGATGGCAGATCAATTACATATACATATTTGTATCATTTATTAAAATAATGATCAAGGAAGAAGACGATTTTCCTGGAGTCCAGTAGACACAATTCAGGGTAATGGGGAAAAACAGAGCAAAGGAAACTTATTGGTTAAAGGCTAGAATGCCAGGTGACAAGAAAACAATTAAAATCTCCTTTATCTCCCCAGAAAAATTGAGTCTATAGTCGCTCCAACTCCTCACCTGACCTCATTTTCCTGTTGCCACAAAAATATCTGCCCTATGCCCTGGCTGGTTTGGCTCAGTGGATAGAGCATTGGCCTGTGGACTGAAGGGTCCCAGGTTCGATTCCAGTCAAGGGCACATGCCTGGGTTGTGGGCTCAATCCCCAGTGGGGGGCGTGCAGGAGGCAGCTGATCAGTGATTCTCTCTCATCATTGATGTTTCTATCTCTCTCTCCCTCTTCCTTCCTCTCTGAAATAAATAAAATATTAAAAAAAATACCTGCCCTAAGACGATGGCCCTTTGGTCTACACCTGTTACCTTTGGGAGCAGCCAACAGCCCCACAGGTGCTCAGGCTGTGACAGTACTGCAATGAAGGGGGAGACCAGCATGCTCCCTGTGAGACAGCTCCTCCCCTAGCCAGCACTGCTCACTGATGAGCTGTTGTCTAAGAAACCCTCACACATCCCAGCTAAGTACTCTGGATGACACTGCTTACTCGCATTCTTCCAGCTTTCTAGGACTACACTTAACACCCCCACCCCCATTCCAGTTACCTCAGTCAGCACTAGAAGCCCAAACCTCACAGACCATCATCATATGTTGCTTATCTCAACACTGCCTTCTACCTCCCCTAATATGACTCAGTTTACTTAGATTTCCTATAATTTCATATTCCTCCACTGCACTCTGGAATTCCTGGTTTGCCATCAGCAAACTCTTCTGTGTCTCACACTCTTCTCTGAATATTTGCTTCCCCTCCTTCCTCTCACTGAAACCTGGCTGTTCCTCTCAAGTGGAAGATGTCTTTTCTTTCACCTCCCGTTTGCCTCAGGACCTGTAGATAGAGTAGGTCTTGGTTTCTGTATCTCTAACATTTGGTGGATAGTCCTTGACCAGCCTCTCACGGGTTCTCCAGAGAATCAAATGATGCACGCTGTAGGGTTTCTTCCACTGTAAGGGATTGCTCAGCTACCTTTTGCATGTGTCACAGTCCTGGGCTCTTCCAAGAAGTGATATCTTTGGTACCCATGCCAGGAGGACCTTAAACTCACCTCCCTCACTGTCACTTCTCCTCCATTGTCAGATCTATCCCACCTGATGTCTCAGCTGTTGTCATTCCTTCTGCTCCCCCGCAGGCTATGGAGCTGCCTGGTGCTTTAAATGGATGGACCATAAAGCCTTTGTGAAGTTGCCTGTATATCCTTTATGTCTGTACATATATCAGATTGTAAACCCCCAGAGGAGCAGAGCCAAGTTGTTAACTCATATTCACGGCTCTAAATTCAGTGCAGTGAGCAGATCGGTTTATCTTCATCATCATGATGAAGAGGAGTTGGAAGATTTTTCTCCCATTATATTAAATGCAACTACTGAATTTTACACACTCCCTCTTAGAATTTTTCTGGGTGGTCTCCTCCTTTTCATTTGCATACCTTATTATCCCAGAGTGAAATGCAGGATAGAGAGGTAAATGGTCTGAAAACAAACGTACTATAATACATTCACTTTGGCTACGAAAATAAAGCAACCCAAACCTAGTTTTTCTTGCAGTCTTTAAATCCAGATGGTAGTAAAATTTGACATTTCAATTCTGTTTGTGAAATTCATTTTGTTTTTAAATTGGGAAGAACCATGGAGCTAAAAATGGTCCAAAGTACTAGGAAAGCCTGGTGAGACCTCTTTAGGCGTTTTATTAATATGGACTTGGAATTTTAAAATGAATTTGGAGACAGTGTAGATAGAGCTGCAAATAACTGCGGTGGGTATGAACCAGGGCCCCAATACCCAGAAGTGATGTGCTACCTCATACCTAACCTGAAAAAGACAGAGGATTGGCTTGAGCAATGAAAGGAAACAGACATCTGGACAAAAATAGAGACTGTTTTAGTAGCCAAATTTAGTTAATTTTTTATAGTTCTCATTTTTTTTTGTTTATAGTTCTCATTCCATAAGGTAGGTTATCATTCTCAACAGTCTGTTCTGAAATTATGTAAGGTCTTTTTTATAAATAAACATCAATATTGTAAAGATTCAGTTTAATTAATTAAATTTAAGATTTAGGGGTCCAGAGTGTTCAAAACCAGGTAAGAAGGCCCCCTTACAGAATACTTTATTGGCAAGTTTTATTTCTGACCTGATCTGTTCTATATTTATTCCTGGAAGAAATCACAGAAACAAATCAGCATTTATATGTTATAAACCGTGTATCAGTTAAGTTTCCTTGGTTGAAAGTGAAGAAAGCTCAATCCAAATAGATTTACTATGAAAAGGGGATTTACTGCCTTTAAAACTGAGAAGTGCAGTGGGGAGACTGGCTTACCTGTTGCTTGACACAGATACTTCAGAAACATCTCCAGGGCCTCCAGGTCTCACCTCACTTCTCTCTCTTCCACATGCAGGTTTCATTCTTAGACAGAACCTCCCCTCATGGCTGACAGAAGGCTGCAGCCTCTCAAGACTTCACACTGCCAGGACTTCAAGTCTGTTGGGGAGAAGGAGACCACTTGTCCTCAGCATATGAACAAAAGCCCCAAGTCTGGTTATCATTGGCTGAATTGGGTCATGTGCGCATCCTGAAATCAATCACTTTGGGTAAGAGGATGGAGTCTGCTGATAAACTTAGTCTAGTTAAAGCTCACACTAGATTTAAGCATGGGAATCAGCCATTTAAACCGCATGGCTTGAAATGGGTGGGAGTGTTTCCTTTAAGGAGATTCATGATGAATACAGGGATATATATATCTCAGCTATAAATAATATTTAATTAAAATACTTAATGCTTTAATAAAATATTTACTAATGTTGACTGTTTACAGTGTGCTAGGACATTGAGGTGAATACGAAAGGTACACTCCTTCAGATTTCTTATGGGAAATCACTTGATTCTTAAAGTTGATGCTGCTATGAGAGCTTTATGTTTCCTAGCTCTCATGTATTTAACTAAGAGGGTCTGAGTACCTGACTGCTTTGATATATTGTAGAAAGATATATTAATGAGCTATTTTCTCACCTTTCTCCAGGGAAGCACACATTCTCTGGAGATGGAGAGAACAAATTTTTTCAAATACTTCCTTCCTTTTACTAACCATATTCTATGTATAGACTAAGATGAGAAAGTTATTTCTGGCACTGGGCTGAAGGAAATTCCTCGGTGGTGCATTGCTAGTGTAGACATAAACTGTATATTTGTGTGTGCGGTGACAGTTACAGCTTCCTCCACTGGCTCTGGTTTGGTTCTCCTTCCCTCTGATGATTTTGTCTTTGTTTCCTTCTACATCTCTGCCCTCCTCCATAAATACATAATACTTATGTATGTGCATGTGTATGTGCATATGTTTATACACAATTGATATTAAAATATTTATTAAATGATATGGCATATTCATCTGCCAATCAGAGTGGATGCCAGCCATGACCAACCAGAATAATTTTAGTGGGACATAAAGGCTGTGAAGAAGCAGAAACCATGTCTTATGTGAGGAAGCAGAGATTCAGATTCACACAGAATAGGGTGAGGGAGCCAGTCAAGAGTGAGAAAACAGAACTAGGTCGAGAGTGAGAGTGATTGCAAGAGAGAAGGGAAGAGAGTACTTAGTATCCAAATTGTCTCTGTGTTTGATGGCTCCCATTCCTTTGAGGGCTATCTCTATTGTACCTTGGTTCTTCTGAGATACCTGTTTCCTTTATTGCTCTATCGATTCTTCTACTAAACCACTCTCTTCCCTTTCAAAACTACATTGAGGGACTCTGTTAGTATAAACTAAAGCTAACTAACTAAAATTAATGGGCACATAGCATTTTTGTAACTTGCTATAATAACATTGTTATTCCCTTATCAATAAAAAACATCTTCTATGTCTGCAGATAGAACTACATCATCACTCTTGAGGCATGAGTCTATTTACTGATCCACAAACACACATACTTTAAAGGCTTTTGATACACACTGGAGCAAAAACATTTGTCATTAACAGTTTCATTTATTTGTCAAAAAATTAGCCACTAACCTGAGGACATAATCTATCTACAACAAATCCATCTCAATGACTGATTATATATTGAAAACTGGCTGCCTTCCATAACTGTAAGCCAACACCCTAGTTGTGACTAAGGTAGAGTGACTTGCTTCATTCAGTACAAATCAAACTTAGTACTGAGTTTTTGGACTTAGCTTTGCCAACCACACTTTGGTTCTTTTTTTTTTTTTTAAATATATTTTATTCATTTTTTACAGAGTGGAAGGGAGAAGGATAGAGAATTAGAAACATCGATGAGAGAGAAACATCGATCAGCTGCCTCCTGCACACCCTTTACTGGGGATGTGCCCGCAACCAAGGTACATGCCCCTGACCAGAATTGAACCTGGGACCCTTGAATCCGCAGGCCGATGCTCTATCCACTGAACCAAACCAGTTAGGGCTTGGTTCTTTTTAACACTATGACGTAAGAAGTGGTCAGAGATTAGAAGAGGAACATTTATTTAGTTATTTTATTTTATTATTTTAAAAAGTATTTTTTATTGATTTCAGAGAGGAGGGGAAAAAGACAGATAGAAACAATGATGAGAGAGATCATTGATTGACTGCCTCCTGCACTCCTCCACTGGGGACCAAGTCTGCAATCCAGGCCTGTGCCTTGACCAGGAATCAAACTGTTGACCTCCTGGTTTATAAGTCGATGTTCAACTACTGAGCCATGCTGGATGGGCTTATTTAATTATTTTAGCATGATTGTGTTAGTGATAATGCTGCTCAAGAAAGTTTTCAAACACACAAAAACCTTTAATTCAGTCTCTAATGCTGAAGCTTTTAAGCTTCCCATAATAAAAATTTTCTTGAGAGAGATCACTAAAGAGGTTGCAAGTACCTCGAGGTCTCTCTTTCTTGAAGATGTGGTCAGGATTGACCCAAAATAACGCTCCTAAATTCCGTGTCCTTGGTGAAGGTGTCTCTCACCTTCGGCTTCACTGCAGTGAATATAAAGTGGAAGTTATCAAATAAGCAAAGAAAACTGTATAAGCTTTGACAGCATATCATATGAAATGCATTCTTAAGATTGTATTACCTAGATTGCTTACATACACACTAAATAGCTTTATATTTTATCCTGCACAGAGAGGTTAACTTATAGTTAATTGATGGTGATTGTGGGTTCCATAAAGGGGTGCCCAATAGGTGCTTGGTTAGAAGCACAGCTATTTCTCCAGAGAAGAAAATTCTACTAACAGCCTATAATAAAAATGTTGGGCATTAACTTCCTAGTCAAGAGTGAAAATATTTATAATAATATTGTTTCTATGAGAAAATTAATGTCTATGTTGATTTAAAAATAACTTTTCCAGGAACTTAACTCACCTAAATGAAAGAATTGCTCGTCTCATAAATCTTTTTTGTGTGTGTAAACTTAAAGGAAATTTGGTCAAAAATATTAATATAGTTTAAAATTGCTTTTGAATAGGATTCCTATTGATTAAGTTTGGACAGGATAGTTGGAGGCTGGGACATGGCATTTGGGAGTTTGAGATAGGATGTGTGAAGCCAAATGAAGCTTTTGAGAATTGAACTAACCAGAAAAAGTCAGGATTTTAAAAATTATAATCTGTACATTCTAGATGGAAAGAAGATTGGGAGAGCAGTTCAAAAACTGGTTTAGGCCTGAGATGATGAAGGCCTAGGCCAGTGATGGCGAACCTTTTGAGCTCGGCGTGTTAGCATTTTGAAAAACCATAACTTAACTCTGGTGCTGTGTCACATATAGAAATTTTTTGATATTTGCAACCATAGTAAAACAAAGACTTATATTTTTGATATTTGTTTTATATATTTAAATGCCATTTAACAAAGAAAAATCAACCAAAAAAATGAGTTCGCGTGTCACCTCTGATAGGTTTGCCATCACTGGCCTAGGCTAATGTGTTGGCTCTGGAAGCAAACATAAAGGGGGAAAAGAGATAAAAGAGATATCGGAAAGGATATAAGATGCTGATAACAGAGGGGCTGGGGAAGAAATGATAGGAGAATTGTGACTGTGTTTGAATGACTAAGAGCCATGGTTTTTCCACCACTGTATCTTCAGTGTCTCAATCAGTGCTTGACACAGAGTAGGTGTTCAGTAAATATTGGCTGAAAGAATGACAAGTATATAAATCACCCAAAGGGAGATGAAGTTACCCATATGACTTTCTCAAATTAATTCCTCACTTGATATTTGTGAATCACACACCTGAGACTCAGTGCAAATGTTTACCAAACCATATACTAGGGGTTTTTTCTCCCACCAGCAGATCTGGTTTGGCAGATTTGTTTTGTAGTGTGTCCATCATGTTATCCCTTTACCTTGCCTCCAAGGAGTGGATTCTCCAAAGGGTGATGCTCCTATGATTTTTCCTTCATCTTTGGAGCAACAAATGATTTACTGGTGGACCTGGCTACCAATTTACTCCCTCCATGAAGTTAGGAAGAGAAACATGCTACATTAGTATTTACTTGCTTTCTATGGTGTGTGGAAAGTGGAAGGAAAGGGTTGACTTGCAAGGAGGAAGCCTAAGGGGCCAGAGTTTATACCCATGAAATCCTTCATTAGGAAAGATTATGGAATTTGGGGATGGTTTAAAGTCCCAGTCTTAAGTTGGGGAATGCAAAATAGTATGGTGGAAAGAGTCTAAACAGGAATCAAAGAAAATTCACATGGATCCCTGGCTGCCTTGTGGGTGGTTAGAGCATCGTCCCAAGACACCAAGGTTGTGGGTTCAATCTCCAGCCAGGGCATATACGAGAATAAAACAATGGATGCGTAAATAAAATATGTGGAACAACAAATCTCTCTCTCTCTCTCTCTCTCTCTCTCTCTCTCTCCCCCCTCCCCCCCCCCCCAAAAAAACAAATCAAGAAATAAAGAAAACTCATGTGATAGCGGGCAACTAACAGCTTTCATGACTCTCATTTTCTTCATCTGTTAAAAAAGAGAGACTTGGGTTAGGTAATCTCTAAGATCCTTTCTAGCCCTACAGCCCTAAAGTCTGTAATTCCTTTGTAGACCCAAGGCATTGATGAAAATAGCATCTCTTCTTCATTATGGCTTCCATTCAGCTTCCTTCTGAGTGCCTACCCTGTGTTCCACTGTCCTCCCAGTACATACTTTTAAGCCCTTACCAGCATTTTGACTGTGTTCCGTAGCTTGTTATCATGGCAGCACTCCTCATTTTGTTAACACTTAATAACTTATTCAACTCAGATAACTTAGCTGCTATGTTTGAAACAACTAGTTTGGTGAGGTTGTAAAAGGTACCCAGAAATTTATTAGGAGTGGCCTCAGACACAAATCAGCCTGTCTGCCCTATAGTTAGTGTCCATAACACACATATTTATACTCCCACTGTATTTCCCACTAAGCCATAGCATTCCAGGACTCAGTGGCTGTGTTAGCCCTTGCAATTCTAGTCCATCACCTGGAACCATCTTTCTTAACTAATGTCAAATGGACACATAGTCCTATCATAAGCATTAAAGAATAAGCAGGTGTCTTGTTAAAAAAAGTCTGAGCTCTCATATTCCTGATTCAGTAGATTTATTGACAGGTCATTGCCTGTTCTG